CCTAAGGATTTTCGCACCGTGTTACAATGACGTCACACGCACAGTGGCATAGGGGCGTGAATAAGATTGAAGTATCTCAAGAGCACTTTGTCGTAGAGACTTCAGACCAAGACCATTCGACCTCATCCTCTCTAACGGTGTTGTAGTCTTGCCTCACCAGCACAGGCTTGCTTTGCAGCCCCTACTCTTCCCGCTGTTTTGTTATTGATACTGTGGCCTGCAAGCGTCGTGTGGTCTCGTCGGGTCAAATGAAAAACCTAATACTACTTGACGGACCTATGGAAGATGGCAACAAAGAATTTTTGATACTCTGTTGTCTTCTCCCCTTCTAACGAGTAGGTTGTGAACTTAGTAAACAAAATAAAATCAGCTCCCTAAACTCTACAGGATATCATATTTTCATTTTTCGTGGAGTTCCCCTTTAATAATAATAATTATTATTATTATGCTCTATTCGCGTTAGCATCAGTGAGCTTATAAAGCTCACACAGTCCGTGCGCCAGATTCAAAAAAGTCGTCTAAAAGCTGACTTTTCATTTTCCGCACTGGTCAGTTTGCGGGTACTTTTTGAGTCGCATTCTCAATGGTGGACAATTTTGGAAAATGGTTTTGTGTCTATGGCTCGTTTGTTTTGGCATTTCGCTACCTGTGTGGTGAGCCTAAAAATTGCGCTTAGCCGTGGCAACGCAGTGGTGTATTCCGTTTTTCAGCCAGATGACTTGTTTCGCTGTGGTCCGGCATCTTCCTAGATTCTCAGCCGTCGTCGAATTTGAGTATTTTCGAAACATTTTTTAGGGTGCAGGCGTGGGGCAAGGCTTTCACTCCCAGCCAATGGCACCATTTGGCATAACTCAGCCCTATGAACACATCACCAGGCCCTCGTTAGTGTCCAGCTCATATTTCCAAAAAATGGACTGGACTTGAAACTTGAGTGTACAGACAGTACTATGCATTATGCACGTAATGATCGTATGCAATAACTTTCGCAAGCTACACGACAAGGACTCGCTGCAGAACAACATAATGATATTCACACCATATGCCATTGTGGTGCACCGTGATACCAATGACAGTATATTTATTGGTGATCAATTGCCTACTGGGTCGCTCCGTTGCCGAGAACGTCAACTTTGCGGACTGTGGAATGACCCGCGATACCGCCAACCACCCCTGACACAAAGCCAAATGCTGAAAGAGCTGACTGATACGGTACCTAGCAAATTAACTGGATAATGCTCATCTTCAACAAAACCAGGACATAAAACAGTGCTATGATAAACTACCTCCAGTCACCGGAAACAAATACAGTGCATTACGCATATGGATAGAGATTGCACTATTGTATAATTGTATACCAATCTTAGAGAAACAAAACAAGTTATCGGGTCTATACCATCAGAGTTAGCAGCTATATGTATTGGATTCTCCTGGTGTGCAGAATGATGCTGGCGGCGTGGTTCATATCCACTGTTGGCTTGCTGTCGGCAGTACCTTCACTATCTCACGTCTAAGGCATTTTATAGTCTGCATGACTTGGATCACAACGCCATAGTTATCCACACGAGAATGGTAATAAATCCAGATCACTAAGGCCTTCTTCATTGCAGTTGGCGCAATACGTTCACGGGATCGCGTCTCCGACCTCCAAATTGTAATTATAGCTGGCTAGTCTGTTGTTTATTGGCAGACAAGAATTGCGATGCTTCTTCAAAAGAGGCAGTTTAGCGATGTCTGTCCATGACATGTTCCGCATTGCTGTGTGTGGAAGGAAAGGTGCAACAATATTAGATTGCTGCTGGCCATAGACATCAAACTGCAACATCTGGGCTTCAGCTGTCACAGGTCCATTGACAGAGAGACTGCCGCATATTGCACATACTGCAAACTATTGACTTCATGCCATCGCCTCATGGATCAGAAGTCACCACACTGAAAGAAAAACAGCAGAGGAAAACAGAACTGATGCAGTTAATCGATGCAGTTAATTGGCAGCAACAAATTTACTCCTTCATTTCATTCGACGAATTTGAGTCGTGTAATGCAAGAAAAAAGTCAGAGAGTAGGATCTAGGAGAGGGCATGCACCAGTGCTGTTGTGCCTATAATAATTAGATGCTCAGAATTTCACCACAATAATGCACATAATACTGACATATTTACACTATGCAACCTAGTAGTCAACAAATTCAGAAAAAATCTAGTACTTCAGCTGGTGAAATATCCCACCTCTATCCCCTAAGCTCAAATGTCCCTGTAAAATTGATAAAGGATTGGTAGATGCTCACTCGGAGTGGTGTTTGAAAAGTAACACAACAGGTCATGACGATTTAGAGCATGCTCAATTGTCTCTTCTCATAAAATCACAATATTGCCTGTGCGTGGTTTATTTCGGGTGCAATTGTGGGGCACATAGGTATCACTCTAATTTCTCGTGCATTCGAAAGATAAAGCTTTGGTCTATCACCCCACAAAGCGGCTTTAGTGTCCGTGATGGTAAATGCCTTACCTGGTGTGAAATTGGTGACCATATTCCTCGTTTCAGCAATTACAAAAATGAGACATTCGTCCTTGGTGGCTGCTCACGAACTGCAAGCTCCAAAATAATTTTCCAGGGTACGACCATAGGTGTCTACATCACTCCAAACCATCTCTCCAGTGTAGGAAAGGTCTCCTGACGAGACTAGAAGGGCTCTAAGCAGCAAATTTCATTGAAATATTCACCATTCGGAGATAGGCGAAATCAACAGAAAACAAGCCCGCAGGTGCGGCGCCTTGGAGGCTACGATTCCCGCGAGAAAATGAAAGTCGGTCTCTCAAGGGCCTTGGCGCACGGACTGCACATATAGCCTTCACTTAAGCCGCAAGAAGGAGCAAGTGAGCGCGAGGAAGCGCAATGCACACAGAGCGTCAAAACAAAACAAACAAAAAACAGAAAAAAGAGACAAGCTGCAAGGAGGAGCAAGTGAATGCGAGGAAGCACAGTGCACATCAAGCATCACAATCGCAAAAAAGACAAGATAGAAACGCAAAGTTATGTCCATTGTTGCATTAGCGGCTACATACAACCTTCACCAGGTCCTGCCACTGAGGGCGATCCTGGGCGAGCTGCTGCAGCCTGTTGCAGTCATCTCCATTATCTATATATAAAGGTATAAATTATGTCCATTGTTTCATTAGCAGCTACATACAGCCTTCACCAGTTCCCGCCACTGTCGACGGTCTTGGGCAAGCTGCTGCAGCATGTCCAAGTCATCGCCAGTCTCTAGGGCGGTATTATTTTTCAGCTTTTTGAGATCATTATTGAGCGTTCGCGGGAGCGTTGTTCTTGGGCGTCCCCTAAAGCTGGGGCGTTACCCCCTAAGAAGTAAGCTCCCATGGCACGTCTGGCAATAATAATAATAATTTTTAAATATCGGAAAATATTTCCATTGTACACCGTACATAACAGGTTCTCAGCTGCATCGAATAGATTTCCTAATGCCAATATTTCGCCCATTGGGCATCATCAGGGCATCCATGCAAAAGAAGAGGAAATCGAGAAAATTGCTGGAGACCATCGAGATCAGGAATCGCAAGGCAGCAGTTAACTGCGATGACGGATGGCGCCAAATTGACTGCATCACGGCAAAGTTACTGGTTTACCACTCAGCACTGCAACCTATCCATGCAAAAGAAGAGGAAATCGAGAAAATTGCTGGAGACCATCGAGATCAGGAATCGCAAGGCAGCAGTTAACTGCGATGACGGATGGCGCCAAATTGACTGCATCACGGCAAAGTTACTGGTTTACCACTCAGCACTGCAACCTATCCCCTGAAATCTCCTGCACTACCACCGGACTTGTCCACTTACACTTACACTTTACGCTATCACTATACATTCACTGTTCTATGGCTCTCTTACGTGTGGTTTCAGACCCTCTGGATGAAGTTTACATTACAAGTAAATCTAATACTTCTTCAATATCTACATGTATAGCGTTACCAAATGCGTGGACTTAATACGTGAATTTCAGGATGTTAATTCTACACATTTTGTAGGTGTAAATGTCTCTAGTATTTTCCCTCTGCTGAGTATAATGTTGCCGCTTGCCTCTTCTTTTGCATGGATACCCTGATGATGGCCAAAGAGCGAAATATTGGCATTAGGAAATCTATTCGATGCAGCTGCGAGCCTGTTGTGTAAACTACGCTGCAATGGAGTCTGAGAGTTTTACGAAAATAATTTTTAAACATGGATAATTTAAACAAAACGGCGAGGGGACAATAATTTTATAACCGCAATCAATAAAATAAGCTGAAGCGGTATTTGTGTACTTCGTTCATGGAATGTAAAACGGTGGAGACGGTGAGCAATAAAACGATGAGAATATGAAGAAATAGTGTAGGGAAAAAATAAGTATTCAAACAAGTTTTCGACCAAAATTTCTCACTGTACTGTGGATTCTTCCGCAATTTGTAAATTTCCAAACACCAATAATCGCGACCACAAATTTCGTTCCGTAATTCCTATAATTATGTCCAATTATCGCCTTCTTAGTATTTGACCCCACTAATTTCCCTGATACCTAAGTGGTCAAATATATCGCGTATTTGACTGCTTAGTCAAATACACAATATATTCGACTACTTATATTTGACTCCTTAGAATTTCTTGGACTTAGAAAAAGACATTTTTGAAGAAAGCAGAAATACACAAGATGGGATTCGAACCGACAACCATGTAAATCTCAGTCACTCTTCCTAACCACGCTGAACTTAGTTTAAATAATGACCTTCATCCTGCAATGCCATACAATGCGGTATAGGCTAGATTATAATATTAGAATTACAAGGATATGTCGTGTATGAAGAGAAACTATTGCGTGGAGAACACGATAAATAGATTATAGACCACATAGTTGGTCTATACCTCCTAACCGGTCTATAATCTATACGTATAACAAGCGTATTGTTCTGCTGACGTGCCACATGTATTCTATATTTCTTGTCTCTCTCACAGTGATATTAGCTTTACTGGCCACGCCATCCTCAAACCCGGGACATTTAAACGTCTATCTGAGCTCCAGAAGCTGTAAGTTTTAGGAATTCTCTTTTACCTTTGTTAGTCATAAATAACGGAAATGTCCAACTTGTTGCCCAACATATTGGCGACAAACTTCAAGCATTCTTTGAGCTACAAGTAGGAGACAGGCGGAAGACAACACCGACAATGACACAGACGACAACGAAGGAAACAACGGCAATATAAACGATGATGTTCATGATGTGGACAATGACACCAATGAAGGAAATAAAAATGTGACAAGAAAATTGATTTGCAGAAAACTTTCAAGACTTTGTAGTGTGGCGATGAGCAGAATGCATGGTGAGAACTATCCGAGTTGAATACAGCAGAATTTGTTTTCTTTATTGCTATTATAAAATTGTTGTCTCGGCGTCGATTGTTTGCATAATTATTATAAAAATTGTTGTTGACTGTTTCTACTCTGTGATGCCAAGGAACATGAATTACGTGAATGTGGGAAACTACACAACAGACGTTCTTGCTGACCTAACAAGTATCAAGGAACTGTAAGTAACAATGTTTCATTTATGACCCACAGCATGAAGGCAGTAATGTTATGACTCACAGCATGAAGGCAGTAATGCCTGTACATATGGTGAAGTAGAATAGAAGGTAACATAATGTTGAGTTCTAAAAGGAGGACGTCATACTCTCCAAGCACAACAATGGACAACGGGAACTGGTAGGTGGAACATTTATTTCAGGAGACGAAGATACAGAGACCAAGACGAACGAAACGACTACAAACTCATTGTGTAAGAGAGAAAGAAGAGAGAGAGAGATCAAGTGTGAACGGCAAGACAAAGGGCCTGGGTCGTTATGACAAATATGGACGCGCAAGTAGCTACCCAGGCCAACGGAACAAAAGGAGACAAAAGGTGAGTACGAGAGTGCATGCAGGCCAGCTTGCATAAGGTTGTAGAACGTACGGGAGAAGGTACCTAACAATAACATAACATTGCAAACTGTGTGTCGCCCCCTATGTGGGAGCTCACGGTTTTCCCGCCGACTTGAATTCTAAATGGACTAACTCACGACTGCCATCCAAAGCACAAGAAAAGTTCATCGAACCGTCCACTCGGCAAACCTGCAAGAAAGCGTCATTCCCTGCTCAATACACAGTGTTTCGGGGAATTCACCCCTCATCAGTTGAGCTAGAGTAGGCTGAGGAATATTGTGCCAAAAGAGCTCCCAAGTAGAGCCGTAGTCGCACCAACCTCTTCTTCACATTGTTGCCTCCAGCGCGGGCTTGCGATTTAGATGGTTTGGAGGCAACAACGTTGTGAATGGCCAATGGTCCTCAGCGCTTGTTCCGCACATCCATGAGCGACACCGACTTACGCTGCTATCTGGCGTTCACGAGGTATTTATAGCGCTGGAAACGGAGCGTCTCTGTAAGTTTGTATCCCTGGTGATGTTTGTGCCTGGACAGCGCTCTATAAGTGGTGCTCTTTGGGCACAGTCTTCCTCAGCCTACTTAAGCTCAACTGATTAGGGGTGAATTCCCCGAACTGTGTATTGAGCAGGGATTGGTGCTTTCTTGCAGGTTTGCCAAGTGGACGATTTGCTGATCTTCTCGTGTGCTCTGGATGGCAGTCGTGAGAATTCAAGTCGGCAGGAAGACCGCGAGCTCCCTTGTAGGGAGCAGCACACAATTCCCCAAGTATCACCGAAGTCGCACCAACCTCTCCGTAACATAACATAACGTTTGGTTTGCGATGTAAAATGAAATTTCAAATAAAGAAACAAACGTTCTTTCCTGAGAAAACCTGAACATTTGTGCAAGTGGATCACTCAGATTTCGCTCAAAATTTGCAGGTAGGTTTGCTTTGGGGTGTAGATCGACACTCCAAAGCCCGCGCAAAATCTTTTGAAGGGAACCATGAAATTGGTATATCCCTCAATATCGGCCCAATATGTTTTGCGTCTCTGTGCTTTTCACTGTTTTTATTTGACATTATCTTTCTTTACGGAGTTGTTGTTGCTGTCCATTTTGCTACTCTTTCTTTTTCCCTCCCCTTACTTTTATTTATCGCCGTGGTTGGCAATCACCCACTCTCTTAACATTGGCCGGTGTTTCCACCGAGTCTTGAGATGTTGTAATAAATATAAATATAAATATTGGCACTATTTATGGGTCTACAAACGAGCTTTTTCTTGTACGCTGTACCGTACAGCGAACAAGAAAAAGCTACAAACAAAACTCCAACTTTACCTCGCGTTAGAAGAGTTCTCGTCGTATAATCTCAAATCTAGACTTGTATGCTGCTGCATTCACTACCACTCTGCACCACTACCTTGATACTTCCAAGTGCACCCTGGCACATTCAATTTTTCTTGACCAGCGCCCTGCTCATTTACAGTCACTTAATTGGTTTAAGTCAGGTGGCACCACCCGAAGCTGCATTCCTCTCCCCCTAGCTAGGTCTACCCGATTCAAAAATTCCCCTTTCTTTTCCTCCTACTCCTCGTGGCTACAATTGCCTCCCAGTGTTAGACAAGCTCCAGATATGCCCAAATTCCGTACCCTCGTCAGACAGCACTTCAGTATCTCCCAGTAAACAAAATCACAATCACCACCTCCGCTGCATAGCTCGCTACGCATCCCATTGCTTTGTAAGTTGCTAATCCCTTCCCACTTTGTGTACGTGCTCTTCATTTTCTTTTTTCTCTTCTTCCGTGGTTGGCCCCACAATCTCCTCAATTCAATTGGCTTTCTTGACATGCCACGAGGTGCAGAAATAAATAAATAAATAGATATATAAATAATATGTAATTCGGATGGTGAGCCAATTAAATTATTGTGAAAAGAAGAAGGACAAAATGTTACGAGTTATGACTAACTGTCCAGCCACGTAACCAGATCTTATACAGTCAGCGAGTGCGACACAATGGCACAAAACTGACAAGGAGAACTGAGACATTCGGCGACCTGACATCTAGCTCCAACAATTATCCAAGGCGCAAACCAACAACCTTCCAACTTGGAAGGCTCAGGTTTGGAAAGGTCCAAGAGGGGAAGGAAAGCGCGACGAAGAAGAGCACGAGCTACGCATCACGGCAACAAAGAATGCAGAAAGTTACTGGATGATGACGAACTAGTAAGACTATTGGACATACCTGCCTTACTACAAATCGACGACGCAAAGCAACAGACCACCCAACTTGGGAGGCTCAAGTTTATGTAATAAACGTAGAAATGGGAAGCTAACCGAAGACAAATTGTGACAAACCGAAACGTCAACAACCTACTGAATTCACTATCATATCATGTATGATGGACTAGTTATGTACAATAACAAGTAGTTCCACACGTACGTCCACACGTACGTCATAGACTGCAGTCCTGATTGGTCAAACTTAACTCTGTACGTTTTAACTTAACTCTTTACGTTTTCTTTGTTTCTTTTTAGGCAAATGATCACCATCACCATCACCATCACCACCACCATCACCATCACCACCGGCTCCACATGTTTAGCAGTAAACACATTGAAAAACTTGTCAACCCTTCAGTTTCTGTAAGCGTGCGGGTACAATAATTATTTCTAGTTGTGTGTTTGGTTTTTCCAGATTCTAAGGTGACGAAAACAAGGAAGTAATGTTGCATAAATGTAGAGATGCGTAGCCGATTTGAACGTGTCCGACAAATAGGGGAGCGTGGAACACGAGCTAAGGGGAGGAATTCTCCTCTGTAGGGATTAATTGTGGGGAGAATTTGAGAGATCGGACTTTGAACAGGCAGAGGGAGTATTGCCGAGAAATGATGTTATCTCACACAGCAAAAACGTTTGCACAGAGATCAGCAGCGTAAGGAATCGTGACCAATTGTATGAATTTGTGAACCTCAACCTTAAAAAACCATTGTACGGCTAATGCTATTTTTTCACTTAACGAATACACCTGGTCGCATAATGTTCACTCTCCATTTTTAAAAGAACATTTCAGGGAGTTTGTACCTAATGGCGGTGGAAGATGCGGTTGTCCTTTCGCATACTTGGGAATGGGGGTGGGATAGGGAGAAGTGCTGAGAGCACAGGACGCAGAATATTTAGCAACATTTGCAAGAAATCAAGTTCTTTATGTGCTTTTGCAATGTTTGCCATCGCATTGTTTATCATTATCAGGGATCTATCAAACAATAATATCCACCAAATAAGACCAGGTGCATTCAATGGCCTTCGCAATCTACACAAGCTGTAAGTGAAATACTATGCAGCAGGCATTGAAACGCAGGACACGACGTTTCATGCCTCCAATGTCAGGGTGATTACTCAATTTTCGTATTTGCTCACTGCCTAGTGGAGGTTCTCAAAAGATGTGACTATTCCCAAAGTTTTGTCCGCATTGGACAGTGGGCAAAACGGGTCAAAGTTACTTTTGAAGACTGACATCCTGTATTCCTATGCTGCGCACATGACGTTCGCCAGAATATTTCAGATATCAAGCAGATTTTCACCTCGAACTCATTGTATGATGTTAAAAACTGTCCAGCCACTACCAATACTGCCCCTGTATGTCTGCCCTGAGAACGAAAGAGTCAGAATGAATATTCACTAGCTATACCTAGGGTGTACTTCACTCACATACTTTTCATGCAAGCATACACCGCCCTTCATGTGCCAATATCCACCCTATATTCACCCCATATTCACCCTATTTTCACCCTATTTTCATCCATATTCACTAGTAACATTTTGCGGAGTTCTTCAGTGATTGATGAAAGGATAACATTTATCATTCCATCATTTCATAATTTACACAAACGACGAGGAGACAATGATTTGATAACCGCAATCAGTAAGACAAGCTGAATCGACATTTGTGTATACTTTATCCATGCAATGCAAAACGGCGGAAACAATGTGGAATAAAACGATGAAAAATATGAAGAAATAGTGTAGAGAAAAATAAGGATAAGGGACCAAACCCCCTCGTGTTTCGTATGATCAATATTAAGAAAAGTGTTGTGTGTTTCTCTCTGTTGTTTACCTACCATCATATTTTATATCAGTCGGGGAAGTGAACTGCCTGCGGTTTTTTTCTCTTTTCAGGCAGTTCACTTCCCGACTGGTCCTTTGACTTTGAAGTTCTCCCAATCCTTTCAAAAATAGAAATAAAAGCAAAAAATGGCCATCTCTCTATTTATTTGGTTCTCTCATTATCCTTGATCTTCTTTGGCCGGGTGATGGGGTTCTTACCTCATGTCATTACAACGTGAGCGAAATAAAGCGAATTCAATTCAAGTCTCGATGTGTCTAAATCTGTGTGTGTTTATGATGGTAGTGCATTATGTGCTGTGTGACGAGCTGAGAGGCGCGAATTTCTGCCCACAGTGGTGTATTGTGTTTATCGGCCTATGCCGTGTTATCTCGTCTTAGTTTTTCTTGCTTGGAGTTCCCCTATGTGCAGCATGCTTGGTCTCTACTAGCACTGTTATAAATGACTGTGATTTTATGTTAGTACTGAAGTTGGTATAGGTGAATGTGTATTTTGCTCTCCTGAAATTTATCACAAAAATGTTCAGGATTTTCTTTTTCCTTCACTGATTGGTGCTTCACCCTTGGGTCCCATGGATCCCGGTGCTGTACTTCATGCCGCCTTTCAAGCTTTCATTTTCAGCTTTGGGAGTGAATAAAGTTATAATAATAATAATTATCAGGACGTCGAATGTCTCAGTACTCTGTCAGTTTTGTGCCTAGTTATTGCACTTTCTGACTGTATATAGTATCATGTTACAGTGATGGAGAGTTACTCTAAACTCGTATCCATATGTCCTTTTTTTCTCTTCTACATTAATTATTTATGGCTCAACATCCGAGTTTCAAATAATAATAATAATAATAATAATAGTAGTCAGTAACTGAAATATTCTGTTGTCCTTCGATCGAAGGCTGGATAAATGCCGGTGGGAGACCGATCTTGCATCTAGTATAGAGTTTCTTCGATATTCGTTTCCGTCCTGTTTTCTCGAGTCCGCATAGAATGACTCGAAAAGAACAGCTGAATCCGAGAGGACGATCGACTTGAAGTTGACAACCTGGTCCTTGCTTGTTTTACAATAAACTTCATATATCTAAATTCTTTCATTGTACAGTTGTGCCTGTACTGCGGCCAGGATTATCAACCGTATCTGTCCTAATAAAATTAATGTCTATTTCAGAGCTAGGTAAAACTCTTCGATCTCGCCACCTATGTACTGTATCCAGCAATATCCCCGGAGCACCTGATTAGTCAAATCTCGGTAATCAGAATAGCTTGCACGAGATTATTCAAATCTGGATACCGCGATTCAATGGGACTGGTCAAATATGTTGGCCAAGCAGGTCTCTTGATCCGACTAGCCGGGTCATTAGCTGCTACATGGACTAGCTAACCCCCACCACAGCTCATGGCTCAATTTAATCTTCCACTAGTACAGGACCAGACTGTACTGTACTATCGACCTCATTATAGAATTTTCAAGATGCATTTGACAACGACGTCAGCGAACGAAGGTGAATATCACCTTAGGTGCACATGTAAGTATAGTATTACCCGTTAAGTCTGGAAACGACGTTTGTATACAAGTGAATATTAGCCTACACTCACTTCGGCTTCAGGTAATACTATACTGAAGGTAATGGAAAGGGGGGAGGTTGGAAGACAAAAATTACATAGCCATGGTTTCTGTTGTGTATGCAAGTTAGTCATTATATATCTACTACACCGTTTGCTACTGACTGCGCATGCTCGCATATGGTTGTTGTTGTTACTTTACCTGACCAAGAGGAATGTCTTACAAATGCTAGTGTTTGTGTGTGTCAGTAAGAATGCATGAGTGTAATGGAATGTTAGTCCGCAAGGGGACATAACAATTTGGCGACGAAGATAAAAGACGAAGATGTCGCGATCGAAGCTTGAAATATTTGAAAAAGGTGATTTTCGTGAGTATGTAGAGAGACTCACGTTTTATTTTATCGCCAACAGTATTGGACAAGTCGCAGCTGGGGCAACCGCGGACCAGGAGAGAGCGGCGGACACGCAAAAGGCAGCTGTCCTGATCAGTCAACTCTCTGCTGAGAACTACTCGATTCTGAAGAGTCTTTGCCTGCCGGACAAACCAGCGCAGAAAACGTTTGAGGAACTCGGAGAACTGCTTTCAGAGCACTTCAAGCCTAATGTCAGTGTGTTGGCGGCGACTCATAGATTCCAGAGGATTTGTCAAAAGGATGGAGAGTCAGCAACACAGTATGCAGCTAGACTAAAGCAAGCAGCCATGGACTGTAAGTTTCAGGCGTATTTGGACAGGGCACTCCGAGACCAGTTTGTCAGTGGGTTGAAGTCGATGAGTGTTACGAAGGAGATATTGTCGAAAGCAAAGGAGACCTCAAGTTTGGCGGACATTGTGATGATGGCATCAGCCTATGAAACTGCATCGAGAGAGTCGGAACAATTGACGGCACAGTCCGTCCACGCCGTTCGTTCGCGCCAGTCGACGAGCAAGCCAACTCCAACTTTCAAGTCGCACGACAAGAAATGTTTTCGGTGTGACAAGGCTGGTCACAAACCGGAAGAGTGCCGCTTCAAGAGTGTGAAGTGCCACGCGTGTGGTACGGTGGGTCACATCGAGAGAGCTTGCCGCAAGAAGAAGTCTGGACAAACCGTCCATCACATCGCGGAAGAAATTGGTGAGTTCGTTCCATGTGCTAGTAAACCCGATGTCACCATGTATAGTGTAAATGCAATGGGGCGACTACCGTACACTGTATCATTAGATGTAATGGGTACCACTATCCAAATGGAGATTGATACAGGAAGTGCTGTCACGATTCTCAGCAGCGCAGATTTCTTGCAATGCAATGGTGTGCTGAGTAACCTGATGGAATCCAGTATCAACCTTGTGTCCTACTCTGGAGATGTGATTAATTGTCTCGGGGAAGCGGAAATGGAGTTCCGAATGGGCACACAATTGCACACACTATTGGTGAGGGTTACAAATGGAAACCGTCCATCTATTCTGGGCAGAGATGCAATGGCTTTGTTCAAACTCCCCTGGAAATCAATTTTCGAAGTGCACCAGGTCGAAAAGTCTGGCGCTAAATTCATTGAGAAATACCCAGGGTTGTTCGACACCTCAGAAGTGGGAAAGGTGAAAGGCGTGCAGGTGAAATTGCATGTGTCTGATGAGAGCCCTGTTTACCGAAAGGCAAGGCCGGTACCACTGTCAATTCGGGAGAGCTATGTTGAGGCTCTGAATAAATTGGAAGCAGATGGTATAATCGAGAAAGTCACGCATTCAGAATGGGCCTCCCCCACTGTCACGGTAGAGAAATCAGGAGGTGGGTTGAGAATCTGTGGTGACTACAGTGGCACTATCAATCTGCATTCTAAATGCGAGCAATACCCGCTACCCACTCTTGAGGAGCTATTGCACAAATTGGGCCCGGGGTCTAAATTCACGAAGCTGGATTTGTCGCAAGCCTACCACCAGCTAGAGATAGCACCTGAATGTCGGCAGTACACCACGATCAATACCATGCAGGGGTTGTATCAGTACAAACGACTCCCTTTTGGTTTTCACAGCGCCGTATCTATTTTCCAACGGGTAATGGAAGAAACCCTTAGCGATTTGCCAGGATGCGGGGGCTACATCGACGATGTGTTGTGTACTGGTCGTGATGAGGAGATCCATGAGAAAAATGTGGATCAAGTGCTATCTTGCCTAAATGAGAAAGGATTCAAGCTCAATCCTAAGAAGTTCAGCTACATGGCGGATAAGCTAACGTACCTCGGTCATCAGGTAACCGCGCAGGGAATCGCACCCTCGCCTGATCGAGTGAATGCCTTGAAAGTCGCAAAGCCGCCTAACAACGTGAATGAATTGTACTCTTTTCTGGGTGCGGCCAATTTTCAACGGAGGTTTGTACCTCGGTTCGCAGAGATTGCTGCACCACTGTACAACCTGCTCAGGAAAGAAATGAAATGGCAATGGAGCAAGGCAGAGGAAGATGCATTCCAGGCCTTGAAAGATGCAATGTGTGAGCATACGCTATTAGCACACTACGATGTCAAGAAGCCAGTCACACTCCAGGTGGACGCTTCTCCAATGGGTGTAGGTGCCGTACTATTGCATAGGCAAACGAATGGTGATGTTTTGCCGGTTGCTTACGTGTCAAGGAAATTGACACCGGCTGAATCGCGTTATGCACAAATCGAACGGGAAGCCATAGCTGTGGTTTTCGGTGTTACAAAGTTCCAGAAATACTTGCTAGGGCGCCACTTCACGCTTCAAACCGACCATCAACCACTATTGAAGTTACTGGGAAACAACGAACCAGTTCCTACACTTGCATCAGCTCGCATCAAGAAATGGGCACTAATGCTAGCTGGCTATGATTATGAGATCAAGTATTTGCCAGGCAAGGAAAATGTCTACGCGGATTTCCTGTCTAGGCAACCATGTGAGAATATCAGTCCGTCTGCAGAGGAAATGGTTACGGTTCGTGTCTTGCTAGTGGAGGAAGATACGATAATCAAAGCAGACGTAGTGAAATCGGAAACAGCTCGTGACCCTGAGCTATCTAAGGTGCTCTACTATGTGGTGAATGGTTGGCCTAGCTCAGTACCCCAATCGTTTCGGTCTTACCACAATAAGAGGGATGAGCTGTCTGCGGAAGATGGTATCCTATTGAGGGGACAACGAGTTGTCATACCCAAATCACTAAGAATGGTATTGCTACGTGATTTGCACACGGAGCACTTTGGCATGGTCAAAACCAAGCAAATGGCACGACGGTACTTATGGTGGCCAAATGTGGATCAAGAGATTGAAATGTTAGTCAAGGCATGTGCTCAATGCCAAGAAATTGCGAAATGTCCACCTGCCAAGTCGGGAACCTGGTCATGGCCAAACGGTCCATGGAAACGGGTGCATATCGACTTTGCAGGACCATTCATGGGCAAGATGTTCCTGGTTGTGGTGGATGCATACACAAAGTATCTGGATGTAATTGCAATGTCTAATGCCACGTCTGCAACCACTATTGCGGCTCTGCGGCACGTGTTCTCTGTGTTTGGTCTGCCGGAGCATCTTGTTTCAGATAATGGAACCCAATTCACGAGCGAGGAATTCAAGGCTTTCCTCCGTGCCAACGACATTGTGCACACCCTGACGGCTCCAGGCCATCCGGCTACGAATGGACTTGCTGAGCGCTATGTGGGTGTGTTTAAGCAGAAGTTGAAGGAAATGGGTGCAACAAGCGAACCACTGCAAGCTCGGCTCGACAGGTTTCTGCTAACGTACCGCACGACACCCAACCATGCCGGCAGAACACCTGCGGAGATGATGTTTGGACGCCAGCCATGCACGCGGCTCAGTGCTCTGCGTCCCTCGCAGGTACGTCAACAAGCAAAGGCTTATGAGGACGGCAATCGCGTCAAGCCAGCGTTCACAGAGAGTGACTCTGTGTTTGCGCTCAATTTCGGCAAAGGTAATCGTTGGGTCCCGGGACGAATTGTGCGTGTCCTCAGTGACTACAACTATGAAGTACAAGTGGGTGATGTGTTGTGGAAGCGTCACCAAGATCAGTTGCGTCTACGGTCAGTTCCGGCAAGCTTGAGTGCATCGCTGCCAGAACCACTGTTGGATACAATCGATCAGACGTCACCGTCACCAGTGCTGTCAGACGTAGGAGAGTCGTCACGGGCCAGTGATTTTCCGGCTAGCGTCTCGCCACAGTCTGCTACTGTACAAGTTGAGGCGGATCCTCCTTGTGAGCAGTCTGCTCCTGAAGTTGGTTTACCACAGGTCGAGAATACTCCCTGTGAAACCACTGTTAGACGTTCGTCTCGGCGTAGTGTTCGTCCGGATAGACTGATTGAACAGCTTTGAGCCTTTCCCTGATGTCATTGCTGGACTGTTTAGCGAACTAGTAATTATTACCATGTACAATAGTGTGCAAGATCCTTGGTATTGCTAATATTGACTGACGGATTCCTGCGTCAGATTATGTTATTGTAGTGCTGTGTCAAAGTTTAAGAATTCACGTACTGTGGATTGATGAACTTATTTTATGTGTTTCTTCAACGATTTTTGAGGTATTTAATTGTGGTAGAATATTCCCTGGAACATTCTTGAAAGGGGGCAGTTGTTGTGTATGCAAGTTAGTCATTATATATCTACTACACCGTTTGCTACTGACTGCGCATGCTCGCATATGGTTGTTGTTGTTACTTTACCTGACCAAGAGGAATGTCTTACAAATGCTAGTGTTTGTGTGTGTCAGTAAGAATGCATGAGTGTAATGGAATGTTAGTCCGCAAGGGGACATAACAGTTTCACAACAAAATGTGTCCATTTTCTTAGTGTACTTGCAGAGAATTATCTTAAGGAGATACGTCCTTCGACTTTCAATGGCCTGCTCAATCTCAGAAACCTGTAAGTCCTGTGACTACGTCATGATCACTGCCTGTAGAAACATGTATTATTTTTATTATTGTACAGAATTGCGTTAAAGAGATAAAATATTTTGTATTGCAAAAGTAATACCTCGTTCCACTTCTGCATTTCTCATTGCTTGCATGCCGAGAAGCTTATCGTAATGAGCTAGCGGTAAAATATGTGAATATTAAAATATTAAAACACGGCTGGTTTTATAGGAATGAAATTCTATTGTTGAATATTGAACACAGCTGGTGATCATGGAGTAATAATAATATAAAATAAAAATTCTAGGGGTAGTTTGGAGACGGTTAAAAAACAGTTTCGTAATCAGTACTGGCATGCAAGGAGGGAAATTCACACAATTCTTCAGACATTTCCTTTCTATCAAACGTTTTCTTTCCCTTCTCTTCAGGATAGTACAGGGAATGTTATAAATTTGAAAAAAAACACATAACTATATAGAGAAAGAAAGAAAAAGTCAACACTTCAACATAGGCGATAAAAATGATTAAAGTGTTAAGAACTCAAAAACAAAACTCTGCACGTTGTAGACAAACACATTGAACACATCAGGGAACACTTGTCACACTTTCACGAGGTGTGACACCAAACAACTGCAACGATAACACATTCTCCTTCTGTATACATAGTTCTGGATCTAGTTTACGAATATACAGAGCTTCTAACACAGCAAGATGTAACTTAGACCTTCCACGAGTCAAAATATAAAAGGTATCATCACTATCCAATTTGCGGCAACTAGCTCTGCCCGACAAATTGCGCTTGATGGACAATGTCCGATCACTTAGCTCTGTCACCTTCGACGCTTGCAACTGTTCTCTTCCGTCAGGCTTGCCCGTTTGGTTGCTCCAGTCGACACCTCCAATGTCCGTTGATTTCATGGCCGTTTTCGTTTCACTTCTTGGTCTTCCTCGTTTACTCTTGTTGATCGTTGTTTTCACTTCCAATATGAACGTATTCAAATCCCCAGTACTTCGTCTCTTCACCTTGCTTCTGGTAACTCTTCCGTTGTCTGTGAGCTCCAGTGTCACATTGGGTGGTTTTCGAGCCGGTCTCCCTCGCTTCCTCACCATAGTGAAACGAAAACGGCCATGAAATCAACGGACGTTGAAGGTGTCGACCGGAGCAAGTGTAACAGGTAGCCGAGTGGTAGGCGCGGTGCAATCAACAAGAGTTAGTTTTATTCTTCTTCTCTCAGGTACACACCTGTGATATAATTATTAGTAAAAGAAGAAGCAGCAAATAAATAACTTTCTCTCCGGTGCACACCTAGAAGTTGACTACTTCTTCTTCGAGTTAGCTTTGTCGTTGCGATCTAATCAAAACAGAAATGCGCAGCAGCTTTCATGCAGCAGACGCCGTACGTTTACATACGGAGATACACTACATATCCATCAGGTAAAGTTCCGTATTAGCCGGGCAGGGATACTACACAAGCGGGCAAGCCTAACGGAAGTGAACAACTGCAAGCGTCGAAGGTGACAGAGCTAAGTGATCGGACATCGTCCATCAAGCGTCATTTGTCTGGAAGTGCTAGTTGTCGTAAGTTGGATAGTGATGATATTTTTTCGATTTTGACTCGTGGAAGGTCCAGCTTACATCTTGCTGTGTTAGAAGCTCTGTATATTCGTAAACTAGATCCAGAACTATGTATACAGAAGGAGAATGTGTTATCGTTGCAGTTGTTTGGTGTCACACCTCGTGAAAGTGTGACAAGTGTTCCCTGATGTGTTCAACGTGTTTGTCTACAACTTGCAGCTGTTTGTTTTTGAGTTCTTTTAAACACTTTAATCATTTTTATCGCCTGTGTTGATGTGTTGACTTTTCTTTCTTTCTCTATTATAGCTACCGGTATGTGTTTCTTCAAATTTATAACATTCCCTGCACTATCCTGAAGAGAAGGGAACGGAAAATTTTGAGAGAAAGAAAGTGTCTACTGAATTGTGTGGATTTGCGTTGTTGCATGCGAATAAAAACGAGAAATACATGCTATACACACCTTCTCCATTCTGTTATTGCAGGACAAAAAGTACCCCGCTTCCACCATGAGCCTAGGCATGAGGAATATGATATTAAGTACAGAATTGTATTACCAAAAAGGTATTTGAGTGAGTGAATATGTTGATGTTACAAGAAACAGTAACGAATGGAGACCAATCAAACTCCTGGGTTCTCTATTGGGCTCTGCAGAAGACGTGGACATGAGAATCTCAAAAGCAAACAGGGCCTTTTGTTCGATTTCTTCGAGACGGCATTCCTTTCAATCCCGACTGTGTATGTTTAACTGCCTCATAATGCCGATCCTTCTACACAATTGCGGATTGTGGACTCTGTCCAAATTGCTGAACAACAAACTGGACAAATGGCAATGGAGGAAGCTACGCGAACTGCTGCAGATTGTCTACCCGCAACGCATCACCAATAACAGCTTATACACGGAAACAAAACAATCTCCAGTTAGTGCCTCATGCCGGCGACGTAGGCTGCTGTGGTTTGGCCATGTGGTGAGAGAGGGTCCAGAATCCGCCATGTTCCAAGCACTAGAGCTATCAATCAGCACAAACGACATCAAAAAAACCGTGGCCGTCCACCATTGCGGTGGATAGAAACGATTCGGCACGACCTGAAGGCGGCGGATCTCTCCGTGGAGAGCGCTATCCAAGCTGCAGGAGATAGACTAACTTGGCTTAACACTGTTGACAGATGCGTCGACTCTGCTCCTGTCTAACAGGCTCAGGGAAGATGCGAGCTGTGTTTATTATTATTATTATTATTTGATTGAGCGCAGATATTTTTAGCGTGATAAGTTAGTACATTGATTCACAATGCCGAGCCAAGCTTCCTTGTCTTGAGAAATAGCTTCCGCTTCGGCAATGGACAAGTTTATTGTCTTTAAGTCATTCTTGATGTTGTCGATCCATCTGGTTACGGGGCGTCCTCTGAGTATCTTTGGTGTCGATTGAAAGTCTTAGAGCTCTGTAGGATGTTGAGTCACTGTCTTCTCTGATTACATGGCCGGACCATAACAAGCGCCGTTGCCTGCATGTTCTGGTGATAGGCAATTAGTTGGGCAGCTTGTATAAGTTTTTATTCGATCTTTTTTGGGGATACACTACGCCAAGAATGGATCGTAGTTTGCGGCGATGCCACGTGTGGAGCCTGTTGCCGAGTGCTGCTGTCAAGGTTCACAGGCCACAGTTGTATAGTAGAGCCAGAAGGATAAGTGTGGTAAACATAAGCATTCTAGATGATAACTTGTGTCTCTTCCAGGCTATAGTGCCGAACGCTCGGTTAGCGGCATTGATACGGTTCTCGATGTCACTTCCAGATCCCAGGAGACCTCCGAGTAGTTTCGTCTTTCTCCATGCGTCATCATCCTTGGAAGAAGTTACAAATTGACTTTTTGTTAGATTTTATCTCAGGTCATCCTGGGCGAAAATTGGCGCACATTTCGCTGAAGCGGCCACCACAGCATCACCACCAGTGTCATGTATTGTGGTGTCATCTGCATACTGTGAGAAATGAGTAGGCAGACATGAAGGGGAGGTGCAGGCTGCTCTCGCCTGCCTCATCGCACCTTCTGTGTAGAAAATGAACATGGCAGGACACATCGGGTCTCCCTGAACCACGCAGATAATGGTCGAGAAGGGATCACCGAGCTGCCCAGCAATCTTCACCCTAGCTGTCGCATGGAAGACTAGCAATTTCATCATTGAGGTGGCTGCACCCCAAGCGGCCATTCGATCGAGCGCCTTGCCACGGTTCACTGTGCCCAATGCACCGCTAAAATCGAGTTATGCTCCCGAATAGTTCCAATTTCCGAGCAAAGCTCTCTTACACAGAGACCGCACACAGGAAACCCCATCAGCCGTTGAGCGACCTGTTCTGAAACAAGCTTGTGAATCATCCACAAACTGCTGAATATTGGTGCTAATTCTCTTTGTGCTTATGGTAGTAAGGACTTTCCGAGCCACTGACAATAGCATGACAGGTCTGTATCTCTTCAGGGCTCCTTTCGGTTCGCCATTTTTGTATATTGGCACAATAATTCCAGTAGTCATGTCTGCTGGGCAGTGCTGTAATTGGCGAATGACATTGAAAGCTGAGGACAGCCAACCAGCTAGACTAGAGAGGTTTTGCAGAGCGAACGTTCACGCGAATTTTCGTTTGACGTCACGAAAAGCGAAACTTCGTGCGAACGTTCGCAGTTTTGAACGAGAAAGTTGCAGGAAACGCGAAACAAACTTTCGCAGTAATTTTCGCTCTTTGTTGACCGCTGGTCAGCCTGGTGGAGTGGTGCACGGTGAGCGACCCTCGATCTTCATGTTTGTGCTGGATCTCTACTCTTGGCTTGGTCCGCGAGTGCTAGCTTTCCGATACTTTTGGCAGCCCGTGTTGTTTCATCTCCAGAACCATCTCCGATCTCCTGCTTGCTCGTCTTCTCACTGCTCAGAATCGGTTACATCAATGATGCCTTTTTGAATCTCAGGTGTTGATGCGCAAGATTACGGCACAAGCCAACCCGGCCCGTTTGTCTGTGGGTCTCCGGCCATGGACAACGTAGTCAAAGAGCTCTCGTCTCAGGCCGTGACTCAGGGTACCTGGTGCGCGGGCCGCCACTCGCAACAAACAAATAATCGGATGGAGAACACTTCTCAACAACAAGCGAGTACACACGAAATTTCCTTGGAGCGAGAAACATGCAAACATTCGCAGTAATTTTCGCTCTTTGTGGACTGTTCGTGCGCGGTGAGCCACCCTCAATCGGATCCTCATGTTTGTGCTTGATCTCTACTCTTGGCTTGGTCCGCGGGTGCTAGCTTTCCTATACTTGTGGCAGCCCGTGTTGCTTCATCTCCGGAACCATCCCCGATCTCCTTCCTGCTCGTCTTCTCACTGCTCAGAGTCGGTTACATCAACGATGCCTTTTTGAATTTCAGGTGTTGATGCGCCAGATTATGGCACAAGCCAACCCGTTTGTCTGTGAGTCTCCGGCCATGGACAAGGTAGTCAAAGAGCTCTCGTCTCAGGCCATGACTCAGGGTGCCGTCACTCGCAGCAACAAAATAATCGGATGAAGACCACTTCTCAAACAAGCGAGTGCGCGCGAAAATTCCTGGGAGCGAAAAACATGCAAAACGCAAATTTCGCGCGAACATTCGCAATAGTTTTCGCAACCCGGAACGCGAAAATCATTGCGAACGTTCGCTCTGCAAAACCTCTCTAATGTCAGAACCAGCACACAACATCTCAGAAGACGTTCATGCAGCGATACAGAAGCAAAAAGTAGGCATAACATCGACGCACATCGAGACTTTAGTGACCATATTGCTCGTGGATTTTTTTAGTGTTTATTTGAATTCGGATAGCTCAACAGTGCAGAAGTACAACTACAAAGAGTACCGAATAGAAGGCCCCGAGAACGGGAAACCAAAAAGAAGAAAAAATTTAAAAAAAACAGCAACATCAATTTACTGATTATGCACATTGCTTGAAAGCAAATCACAACAATGATTAAGAAGGAGTTATTGCTATAATGGTCCATGTTCCTCATTTTTGTTTGTGTTTTTACTACAAACTTAGAATTTTGGACGGCAATAAACTAGAGGAGATGAACCTGGACCACTTGAAGCAGATGCCGATGTTAGAGACTTTGTAAGTATGACATATTTAAAACAGAGAATGCTCAATACCGAAAGACGGTGCTGGTTCCAACAGGAATAAGAGGATGAAAAGTCTTTCAATCCGAGTTTCAAACCCTGAGGTAGTACGTTCAGGTTCTGCGAAAGTGCTCAATACCTGATTCAGGCAGAGCAGCGTACACAAAGGCACACAACGAAAACCTTTGGCAAATTCCGTTGTTATTCTGAGTTTCATGGCTGCACCAATCCTCAGACAACGATGTCTGATGATAGATATAAAGGCCTCTTTTACGGGCAAACAGAATACAATTGACAGTGGCATGGCGAATGATTAGAACACAACGCCAAAAAATGAAAATAATTGTATGTGTGAAAAAAACGTGAAAAAACAAGGAAACAAAAAACACAAAACAAAACCCAGGAAAATACAAGGGCACTGTCCTGCCCACCATCGTCTCCAAAACCTCACAGCCGGCCCTCCGAGATTGCCAACTCTCGCAATGCATTCACAGGACGGTGATATGACGATCGGGCACCGCGGATGCACATGATGTCTGATGATTGGTTCAGCCATGAAACTCTGAGTCACAACGGAATATGCCAACGGTTTTCGTTATGTGCCTTTGTGTCTAACAAGGGTTAGTAGTAAGGTACAGTCAGTTTCAAAAAGATTAGCAATCCTGGGGATTGCCCGAGGAGTTTGCTGTCTTACCGTATGAGCGCTCGAGCGCTGCCAGGAAAAATCACTGCGAACTCGAAGAAATATTGCGCGAGAAAGCATGAAAAATGACTGCTCACTCCAGTGGGTACACGATGTACGTCTGGTTTACAGTCAACTTCGCTTATAACGACACTCGGCGGGGCATCAGAAAAGTGTCCTTATTCGCGAAGTGTCGTTATACCCGAAGTCTAATTATATGTGTCACAGTTGGATGGGACTTTGCTCTGGGCATGAAAATTATGTCGTTATTCGCTAATTGTCGTTATATCCGCAGTCGTTATTAGCGAAGTTGACTGTACAACAAACGAGTTCTTCCTCGTATCGATATGGAGTCAGAGAGTACATGTCCAAAGTGTAGTGAATATTGACGAGCGGCATGGGTCCCATTTCGTATCGTGATCAAAATTTAGTAGTTTCTTTGAGCTGCGGTGCAATTTACTCTCACCATGTGATGAAAACGACATCGACCCAGACTCATTCCCAAGACCATGACTTGGCAAAGCTATCCGTGCAACTTCTACGACATTTTGAGAAAAGCAGACACCTCTGAGAGCTGATAGAAGAAGGCGTTGACTCCTAAATTCAAGTCAATTGGCGATCTTGAAATACTAAAATAAGTTAATTCTCAAAAACAAATAGATCGATCAATGTGCCGATGTATTTGACACATAGCTACAGCGCAATGACTTCCGTATTAACTCACACCGTTTCAGTGCTGTGGGTGTGTTCCCATGGCATAAGCCAGTCAAGTGTCAGTCAGCTTGGCAGGAAGCCCGAGTTCCAAAAACAAATTGTGCGGCACAGCCACCTTCTTTGTCAGCTCGATCAGCAAAACAATGAAAAAAGGTTTTACTTGAAGATAGTTGAACTCGGATGGTGAGCCAATTGAATTTTGGTGAAAAACCTCTTGGACCTTTCCGAACCTGAGCCGTCCAAGTTGGAAGGTTGTTTTTTGTGCCTTGGAGAAAGTGTTAGAGCTAGGTGTCAGGTCGCCGAATGTCTCAGTGCTCCTCGTCAGTTTTGTGCCATTTTGTCGCACTCGCTGACTGTATAAGATCTCGTAACGTTGGTGGACAGTTAGTCATAACTCGTACCATTTTGTTCTTCTCCTTTTCACCATAACTTGAAGATAGGTTTGGATTTGGATTTGAACTCACAATTTCATGGTCAGCAGACTCCATTCATAACCACAAGGCCAACAAGGAAGGGATACATCGTGGGTTTTGATAAATAATCGATACTAACTTCCAGCGCAAATCGTAAACCATGGGAAAAGGCCAGAAATCTGGCCGAGATTCAAACTCCTTTTAAAACATCTGTTACAATTGTTCCGAAACCTTCACAGAACAATTTGCAGTGCTATGTGCTTTGTTGTCCAAATTTCCCGTATCTTCGTACTTTTTAAGACCAAAAGCGGATTGCTAATCTTATTGAAACGGACTATAATGCTGCTCTGGTTTCCCGTCTCCGCTACCGTGCTGGGTTTGTACTCCTTGGCGCAATAAGCACGATCAGGCAACAAGGAGTCAGTCAAGGCTGAAAGTCAAGGTAAAGGCGGGGGCAACAAATCCACGAACATTCTCATAATGACAGTTCAAGTGATTTCTTGTGCTGTGGTCCTCTTAGATCCATGATGTGGAACTCACTAGAAGTCATCTCATCGTGGACACCTGGAGTTCTAAAGCATCTAACTTATCTGTGAGTTTTCGAATTTACTGAGTTTAAAACATGAGAGTTGAAACGGGGGAGGGTCTTACGGGCTGTAATCTGTCTCAATCTGTACTGTGAAAAAGCCTCCTGAGATTCACAATAATGTGACCAAGCCATACAGGAGGGAGTGGTGCCCTGTTGCAGATGGTTCAAGTGGAATGTTGGACGTGCTCCTAGTGAGACCCTGGTGGTGAGTGGGAGCCAGTAGAGTGTCAAAGTACTGTATATGTACAAATGGTCAAGCTGGCAGGAGAGCCTTCGATGAAACTTCTCTGCTACCTCCCGGGTATAGAGCACGCTCTGCTCAGCGTGCTGCAGACCCTGATTGCTCATGCCAACGACTCTAGTGCTCGTGAGGTGTGCCTCTATCAGCGTGTGGACGAGCTCTCCGCACAACTCACAGGCCTACGTGAGGAATTTTGTTCCTTGCAGAAATCAACAATTGCTTCTGAAAAGGACATTGGACGATCTTATCAGCACCAAGCACAAGGCGACAAGTCTTGTGCCCGTACGAAACTTCTTAACCGTCCTCCCCAGCTTGACCCAGCAGCAAACCAGCTTGATTAAGCCAATGGACTACAGTCAAGACAAATCGACGTCGCCTCTGGCTCTGCATACCCGTAAGGACGTCCCCGGCTTGCTTCACCCTGAGCCTGTAAAATGTAAGAAGAGCCAACCGATCCTGGCCGTCAACAAGGAGGACACTTGGAAATTAGCTGGCCAGTAAAGAAACAATCAGTGTTCTTTGTGGGCAATTTCAGCCAGGACTGTACGGTGGACAGTCTCATTGAGTTATGATACCATTTCGGAAAGCGTGGTGATGCCCACCACAGCAGCCTATATACAGCTATAAACGGGCAAGTGTCTGCCAGGGTATCAGTTGATTCCACCTCCCACCTGACAGTGACGTGAGTAAATTTCTGGCCAGGCCACTCTACTGCAGGCCGCGGAAATTCAACACCTCCACAAATGCTAATGCAGCCAACAGCACCAGCAGCAGCAGCAGCAAGCACAGCAAGAACAACAACAGCAGCAACAATGACAACAGCACCAGCAGCATCACCAGTAGTCATCGGAGCATCACCAGTACAAGTAGTCTCCGTAGCAGCAGTATCGACAGTAGCAACAACCTACTGAAAGCACAGCTGCAAAATCAAGAGCAATATTAACCTGGAATTGGCGTCAGGATTAACGACTTCCTGAGCGCGACTCACGGCCTGTCCGCTGCCGCTGCATGCACACCTGTAACCCCCTACCAGACTTGTGCAGCCAAGAAGTGAGCAAAGCCAAGATGCAACTGGTAGCTCTCGCTCGGCAGGAGGAGTATCCCGAAGCCGTCCATATGCTAAGGACGAACAAAAGTGTGCCACCAAGTGATGCCCTGTACAAGCTTACGCCAACCTTGATCACCGAAGCTGACCTGACCCTGCTTGTTCTTGGAAGTCGACTAGCGCATTCGCCATATCTGCCGTCCGACCTGCGACAGCCCCTGATCCTGCCACCTAAACATCGGCTAACCATATTGACCATCCAAGAGGCGGATCGAACAGCCAACCGCACGATCGGGCCGCAGCACCTGTCGTTTAAACTACGCTGACGCTATTGGATAGTGAACGGCCTATGAACGGTGAAGTCTGTTCATAAGGGGTGGGTCACTAAGCTTACTATAGTCTTCACACCACCAAACCCTATACAATAGCAGTTTGGTCTATATTTTTAGTCATTCAACATCTACCTTCACTGATGAGTTATGTATGAGCGAAACAGCTGTCTGAAGGAATTATCAATATAATTATCGTCTACGGAAGTGTCCTGGCAGTGGTGATGGTTGGGTTCAGGAGGATCTAGTCGGCTAAGGAGCGCATTGTAATGGTCGAGGTGACTCAACTTTTTCTTCAATGGCCGAGAGCTCTGTCGCACCCTGGAAAAATGTGATACGTGCGCCGTTAGCGTCAGAGCAAGACGAGAGACAAGACGAGTCAATGGACAATCCAGAGGACGCAATACCATAGGACCAACTGTTTCTACCAGCGCTATTGTACCCTCGACACAGCTCTGATGGTATACTGGGCAAATGCCACAGGGCCAGGCAGTACCCCGCCCTTGAAAAGTACTCTCACTGATACATGCTAGAAAAGCGCAGGACACTTGCTCTCCTCAATTCATTCCCTGAGCAGAGCACACAGGGAGCCTGCCCACACTTCATGACACTTCTTGAAAAGGATCGGAAGCAACCCGTCTGCTCCGGGAGCCTTATGTGCATTGAGATTACGAAGGATCTTTACAACGTCAGTGACCGTAGGCTGCGAGATAGCCAACATAGCAGTCTGGCGATGGGGAACAGATGGGCAGTGAAGGCGTGTCCGGATGGGTGTCTGAAACAGTTTGTGCAAAGTTGCGGGAGATACCAATGTGATCAATCCCTCCTAAAGTGTCCCTGGTATGTTTGTGAAGCAGGCCATTGAGTAACTGCCATTGACCCCTGGGCTGTCTACGCACGGACATGAATTGGTGTTGATAGTACTGGGTGCGGAGATGCCTGTTCATTAAAGGTCCCTCGCGCCGAACTCGACGATATTCTTCTAAAGCTGCCTGGTCACCCGCTTTCTTACATGCTCAGTGGTGGAGGTACTATCGACGTGCCAATAGAAAACGTAGTTCTGGAGTGATCCATTGCCTAGGCGAGTTCTTGTGTAGCTTTATGTGACCACATATGGATCGAGGTCATCAAGGACACCTCCAATACTACTATGCCATTCATTCACGCGTTTAACAACGCTAGTGCTAGCAGTGACATGCCGTCCTGTCTCAGTGAGAGCCGAATCACTTCTGTAAGATAGATCATCAAAGTCCAGGGTAGAAAGGGGTTTCTTTCCAGTGCTAACTTGGAGGTGACCTGGTCTGTCAAGGTCTAGACTAGCTTTCACGGCAAAGTGATCGCTAATTGGACCAGGCATCACATTGACATCGACAGCTACGAGATCCACAGTGACACATATAGGGTACAAACATGAATCGGAGCGGAATCTGGTCAGCTCTGTTACCATGTTATGAACACAGTGGGTTGCACACATGTTAAGGAACTGAACGGGAGCTTGATCAGACACACAATTGACAGTAGTGTGTCTATTGGTATTAGTCAATTGTCTGTTATAGTCACCACTATAATTAAAATCCAATCCAATCCAATCCACCTTCTCACGACCAGCATGAGGGGGAGATACCCTACGCAAAAAAATCTTCACACCACTCGACATTGCAAAAAAAGTCAGCATGTATATTGATGGTATTGAAGGAGAAATACCACCCTAGCCAAAACTATACTCGCATGCGTGACAGCATCAGTATACTAGGGACATGCAAATAGTTTCCCATGAGTCACGATGAGTTGGATATTGTATTGTATTGTATTGTATTTATTTAAAAGGATTCTCCAAAAGCAAATGGATGCTTATCACGGAAGTCTCCCACATAAATATCGCAAGAAAAATGGGGAAATGGGGGAGAGGAGAGTGGAAGATGAAGCATGGGAAGAAGGGAAACAAGTACCTAAATATCGAGGTATAAAAGCAGGAAAGAAATCGACGAGGGAAGAAATCACCTCAGCAGATAATAGCGGGACATTTAGATGAAAAAAACCCAGCAAGGATTAATTTCAAGGAAAAAAAAATTTCTCAAACGGAAAAGTTCGGAATTCCAGTCAGAGAATATCTATGCTGTGAGTAATGAGCCTTTAGAGCAATGCGAACATTGACAGAGGACTGAACGCAGCGGATGTGTTCTGGAAGTTTGTTCCATTCCACAGATAAACTGAAGAGAGGGGATTTAAGGAAATGGGCGCCAGAACGAGGTAAAACTATAGAGGACGGGTGACGACAACTAAGGGATACATTGAATTTGAAACGAATTAGCAAAGACGGAAACTGGTAAAAGACATGATGAAAATACAGCAAGGACAGAATCTGACGACGCCACTTCAGGGATGACCAGTCACAAGTACGATTAAGAATCTGCTTCGGGGTTTCCCACTCAGGAGGGTGCCGGGTCTTACAAAGCAGATATGAACGAGCAGCAACGGCTTGCAGTCGGTCTAACGTAAGCGAATCTGAATGGGATACGGCGAATGACCAGACAGGGACTGCGTATTCTAACAGTGGTCGTACGTAACACTTGTAGAGCATATTCACGGTTGAAGCAGAAAGGAAATGGGCCATATGGCGCAACAGAAAAACACGACTGCGAAACTTATGGGTGATAGATTTTATATGGTCAGAAAAATTTAGTGAAGGAGTGATAGTCACGCCGAGATGACAGTGGCTATCACCTTTCTGAATAGGCACACCGTTCATTGTCAAGGGGGATGACGGGCCGGGGGCTAATGCATATTTTTGAAAGGGTAGGTGGACGCATTTACTGGTGTTAAACGTCATGGCAGTAGCTGATGACCATTGACAACACTTATCAATGTCAGTCTGGAGCAATGCATGATGGATAGGAAGTGAGGTGTTTGCTGGAGAAACAAGAATTAAATTAGAGTCATCAGCAAAAAGGGATAGGGTACTAGAAGCAGGGGCATCAGGAAAGGAGTTGATGCACAGGTTAAAAAGAAGCGGGCCGAGATGGGAACCTTGGGGTACGCCAGCGGTGATGGGCAAAGGGTCAGAAAGAGTTTGGCCAATGCGAACGCAAATACTACGATCACTGATGAAGTCCTTCACCCAAGAACAGGCAGAAAGAGAACACCAACCTGAAACAGATTGAATAACTAAATGATGACTAACTCTGTCAAAGGCCTTAGAAAAATCAAGGAACAGCTGGTCACAAGAAGACTTAGAGTCAAATGCACGCGAAACAATTGAGGTAAGCTGTACCAATTGGTCAACTGTTGACCTCTTTCGACAAAAGCCAAACTGGCTGGAACTGATAATTTTATGGCTCTCAACAAACGAGTAAAACTGACGGCTAATCATAGACTCATACAATTTGGCAACTGCATTTAACAGCGATATAGGACGGTAATTGACTGGGTGAGAAGGATTACCTTTTCCCTTGAACACAGGTACAACAACGGCAGATTTCCACTCCCTGGGCTGAGTACTGGACAGCAAGCAGCGGTTGAAAAGGGCGGAAAGAGACTGTGACGTGACCTCAGCTGTTTCACGGAGGATGCGATTGTTCAGCAGTCCAGCGGTTTTACGTTGAATGGGAAGTCTGGATAGCGTGTCAAATACGGACTGCACAGAGAATGGTTGTATGGAGAACTTCACAGTGGACGTGGGTGTTAAAATACCAGCTGAGTGCAGGTCAGGTGTTAGCAGTGGCGCCTGGCTGTAGCTCGCAAACACTTTGGCTAGGAGATTCGTCTTTTCCGTATTATTCGTGGCTGGGTATGCTTGGTTGTCATGGTAGAGGTCAGGGATAACCGGAGACGGGCGATTCACATTACAAAGGATCTTTGCTTTGCGCCACCATGTACGGGTTCCATGATGCTGAGCCATGTCTCTCGCCATCCTCTCGTGATAATGGCGTTTCGCCTTCCGGAGCAAGGAAGTAAGACAGTTACGTGAGAGTCTATACGCTATCCAACTATCTGTAGATCCGAGACGTTTGGCCTTGGCGAAGAGACGATCCCGAAGCCGCCTCTGACGATGGTGAACAGCAGAGTACCAAGGCTTGTTCGATGGAAATGTGCTTCTCCGGACAACGGGAACAAACAACGATACAGAGTCTTCCAGCGCTGTGCGCCACAATGACCAGGCCTCATCAACTGTTTGCGCATTTTGGACGGCATCTAGCAAGGGTAGTTGCCACACGTGGTTGTTAAATGCTTGCCAGTTCGTGTGGGCAAAGTCGAGCCAGGTGTTTTGTTCAGAAGATATTTGGGCTGTGGAGCCTGCTGATCGGTTGTGGACGACATCGAAAACTACAGGACAGTGATCAGATACCGGTGGGAGGATGGTGAGATGGGAGACTGCTATTGGAGCATTAGTGATAACTAGGTCGAGTAGTGATGAACTCTTACCACTTGCGGAGTAGCGGGTAGGCTGTTGATCCACAAGTTGCGATAAGCCCAGATCATCCAGGGTGTCATACATGCATGTACCAGCAGGTGTATCAGGATCGGATGCAAGCCATTTCGAGAGGCGAGCGTTAAAGTCGCCAATGACAAATATGGAAGCTTGAGGACAAGATATTGATTGAATGCAGGTCCGGAGTGCGCTGCAGAACTGATATCGGCATAGGCATCTCGTTTCCATATTGACCCCAGCACCTCGCACTACTTGTTAGACACATTACACACAGAATCATGTATCGGAAACAGATTTGATATCCTTGCATCAGCCGTACGCGCCGGGTCATGTCAACCAGAATGTAGCACAGTAAGATGAAAGGAACAAAACCAGTCTACTTTATAACCAGCGGGAGCATCTCAGCACGAGTATAATTGTACCTTTGACTGATTTCTTTGTATTGTTGATTTCTCCAGCGGATTACAGAACAACCCTCTTCCATATGGAAACTATCTCTGTAACTTCATCTACCGACTTCCTATTTCCGACGGAACACTGAGCAACTGTGCGCAGATACATGTTTACAACCCGTTCACCGAGCTCACCAAAAGACATCCCAGCAACTGCACCGCAGTGGATACGTACATATACAACTACACTAAACTTTGTGAGTCCAGATTGAGTACAGTTGTGAGTACAGATTGATGAGAGAGAGAGAGAGAGCAGTAAGCAGGGTTATTGATTCACCTTTGCAATGAAAGAAAATATTCATTTTGTCACGAACAAGGCCGGTCTCGGAAGCTCGAGGTAGAGTGCTCAATGCACGAATGTACAGAGCAGTATACACACAACAGAGGCGAAAGGCTGTTAGCTAACACAGCCTTTTTTCGCCTGTGTTGTGTGTGTATTCCTTTTGTCATATTCTGATTCGTGTCAAAATGACTTCTGATCATATTTTTGTGATATCGTGTTGCAGATCTCAGTCGCACTACATTGCAGGTGACATATGTTCATAGCAATTCTATGCTCGTCGAGGTTTATTCATCAGGCGCACAATCCCAGTACAACTGTGTGGATGTTACACGCACTTACTTGTGGGGGAGCGTATCGCCTGCACCATCTGTGAAGACCTGCTCCAATGACACCAATGGCAGTGTACACGTCATGGATATGCCTGGCAATGCTAACTTTTCCATCGTGGGTTACAAAATGCACTCCAATGCCGTACAATACTGCAAATCGCCGTCTCGTCAGGTTACAACTCCCATATCATGTAAGTGCCTGCGTGTGTTAGGTAGAACGGCACAATATCTGCATAGTGTTACCTGTGAATTCCGAACAATCCGTAGGTTTGCTGCCGGTGAGGTTCATTGAGCGTTGGAAACATCTCACTTGACGCAATACCAACCATGTCCTGGCAATCTGTCCTTGCTTTATCGTGTAATTGATCAAGAGATGGAATGTGTCAGCAAATTCTCCATTTTGTGTTTGGCAAATATAGATGTTTATACCCAGCTCATATTGACCCCCACTAATTCTTGTGATTTATAACTGGGGTTTATACATGTACCTACATATCCATCACTTAAACACTGGGTACATATTAATTTTACCTATATTCCCAATTAGAGGCTGTAACTTTTCAACTAAGTTACTTTCAAGGGACTTGTCAGGCTGCATTTACATGGGAATTTTCCACCCGGGTCGAGTTCAGCCCGGGTTGAAAGTCTGTAGGATGGAAAAGGTAGGTGGGTGTTTACATGAAGACAGTTGACCCGGGGAAAATACTGATATGCTGCCAAAAGTCCACTTCTAGAGTCCTGTATCGTCACATGATTGCTTTCGCGCGAAATTTGTCTGTGCAGTGGTTGGCTGTGTGTATTGGAATTTGCAAAGCGAACAGTCATGTCCAATGACTAGGAAGCAAATGAGGTGCAAGTAAACCAGGAATGGGAACACTTGGAAAGGAGATACAGATAAAAATAAAATGTGGGAAAGGAAAAGAAAAAAAATTTCACGGTTCGCGTGAGACTCGGCCAGGCCCAGTTTTCCGCATCCGCAGGAACGCCACCACCCTCTTGGATCAAGGCGCAGATGCAGCTCCTAAACGGTGGGAGGTGAGTAGATCAGACCCACCACAAAGTGGTCAAAGACCGAAATCCCATTCACTGCATCCATGTTTCCCTCGTGCCAGGCCACGAGTTCCCAATTAACTGTGGGTCGCAGCACGGCTGGAAAAAATCCTTCCGCTTCCAAGCAGGACTTGAACCTGGTACCCTCTGTTTCTCAATCATGGTCTTAGACCATCCCACTATGCCTGCCTGCGAAAAAAAGGAAAGGAAAGCTCTCGGAAAAAGAAAAAAGAAAGAATGAAAGAAAGAATGAAAGAAAGAATGAAAAAGAAATAAAGGAGAAAAAGAAGAAAAAAAGAAAAATATAAATCGTGGTCACAGAGAGAAAAAAGCTCTTAGCAAACGAAAAAGGAAGGAGAAAGGAGAACATGAGGAGCTAAATCGTGGTCACGGCTAAAGCCCGAGTAACGGCAAGACACAGTAGGCCAGGCACCCAGTGCTGTTCAAACTTGGTGCGAGATACCCACAGAAGTACGATGGTACAATTCCTCGATTTCAACCCTCCCCTCCCCCAGGGGTTGGTTAAAATCAACCCGGGGAAAAATGTCAAACTCGGTCAAGCGCAATATTCCTTATGCACTTAGTACAGATGCAGGACATCCCGTAGAATCCCGTAGAATCCCGTAGAATCCGGTAGAATCCCGTAGAATCTCGTAGAATCCCGTAGACCCGGTTTGGTTTCGAGTGTTCAGGACCCTATTGTATTTATTGCTAATTCCACAACAAAAATAATCCCTGAAGGCATTTCATACGAAAACCTTTTCAAACAGAGATCTAGCTAGTCGTTAGTTCAATCACAAAGTGAAAAGGCAGGAAAAGCGTTTTATTTATTTATTTTACTCCAAGCAATACATGGCTGGGGTAGCCAATGGCCACTTTGCGTGGCGATTGCAGGGTTTTTATAGCCAACCATGGTTAACAAGGGAAAGAGTAAGAAGTCAAAAAGAAAAGGAAAAGAAGAAAGAAGCAAATATGGACTAAAATTGTGGACTACTGGTAAAGCAAGGCGCTCCTTAATGCTGTTAAAAAAGGCCCTTTGTCTCCTGGTGCAGCTTAAGCCAATGCAAATAGCCATTGAAAAGGGGGAATGTAGCAATTCAGAAGAGCGGGCTAGAGGAAGGGAGAGGTGGTTCCTAGTGGAGGTATCCCGTCGGAACCAGTCAAATGGTTTAAGATGCGGGGGTACTTTGGAAAGTTGAATACGATGGATAAGACAGCACATCATGATTCGTCGTCTTTCTAGGAGAGGTCTGGTCGAGGATAACATATAGAGGGCGACACTAGAAAGGGACTTGGGCATATGATAAAGACTCTTAAGGAGGGAACGATTGTGAATTTCCAGTTTCTGCTATTGGGCAATATATAGATTTGTCCAGGCAGTACAGCAGTAGTCAAAATGCGGCTAGATATATGCATTATAGAAAAGAGCACGACAGCTGTCAGGAAGATGGGCGCGGTGTGAGTATATTATACCTATGGCTTGACTAGTCTTCTTACACATTTCCACGAATTATGAGGATAAATTCTTCAACCGCGCATGTATAGCGCACAAGGAACACCCAACCGGGTAAGTATGTACACACATACATGTACATGTACAACCCTAGTACAGAACTTCGTACATCTGTACAACGTGCATAAGGACCACGCGTCAAGTAAATGCGCCAGTCAGTAGGGACCTTTCGCACCATGCGTACGGATACGAAACGAATGCTGATTCGTCACCTGGGTTCGAGGATTTGTCAGAGTCGCCGCGGAGAGCTCGTTTTCACGAATGGAAGCCTCTTCATTCGTGGCACGCCCCGAATCCGTCAGGTACACATTTTTTGCAAGGTACACATGTTTTGCCAGGTACACATTTTTTTGCAAGGTACACATGTTTTGCCAGGTACACATGTTTTCCCTTGATTCCATGATCCATGCACGTGTGCGCGAACACACCCGTACGCCAAGCTACCGGCCGTATTCGTAGTTGCCATGCACATTTGCATTACGACTTGCGAAACCTGAATTCTGTTTTCAACGAAACGATTACGAGCCGAATCAAACTTTTCGTTTCCCATTCGATTCGTAGCAAATGCGAAAGGTCCCTAATATGTGTTCATCACGGGTCGAAACTTGACCCAGGTCGAAACTTGACCCAGGTCGAACTCAACCCGGGTTGAAACGCCTCATGTAAACACAGCCTTTGTCACATTGAGGGAGCAATCCACAGATTATAAACCGGGAATATTTTTTCTACTTTGCATCACGCCGCACTGGATACGCACAATGGACAAATCTCACCACACGAGCTATTTTTTGTCACCATTTGCTTCTGGCAGTCTGTAAGCCCTGCTCCGGGGCCAGAGCTGCTTCAGCACAGCCTCTTAGAGTATCGCTCCACTCCATAACACAATCAAAAACAAGGAAACTCAAAGAAATCCCGTGGAAGCCTCGGATGATTATAATCTTCGGCGGAAAATCGGGGCCTCCAGCTGATTTTCATCCAGTGGATTAAATCTCACAAATCTCCCACTCAGCGGCAAATATCCATGGTAACCACGGATTTTTTTCAAATTGTCCCACAATGTGACGGGGCCTTTAGAAATGTTCTCTCCAAATTGAAAATGAAAGAACTGAAAAGAAGAAAGAAATTAGAGCAGGAATCGAACCTGCAACCATAAGATTCCCAAGCACCTTTCTTGACCACCCAGACACCAGGGTTTGATGCAGTAATTGGTTTGAAAGTGTGTGTTAGGTCTGCGACACGCAATGCTGCCTACACATAATAGTAAGCAATAGTATACTAGGATACTAAAACAGCTATTTCGGAACAGTATTTCAGGCCAAAAACGAAGCTAGGCATTAATGCATAAAGGCACACAATGAAAACCTTGGGCAAATTCTGTTGTGACGCAGAGTTTCATGGCTGAACCAATCATCAGACAACGACTCTGAGTCACAACGGAATGTGCCCAAGGTTTTCATTGTGTGCTTTTGTGTACGCCGCTCTGCCTGCATCAGGTATTGAGCACTTTCGCTGAACCTAAGCCTATTGACTCTGTGCTAGGTATAAATAGAATAAACACATCTGTCTAGTGTTTATGGAATTTAGAATCAACTCGTAAAAACTCCAAGTCAATCTCCAATTGACACAAACCTCGCTTATTCAACATAATCATATCCTATCCAATAAAATCTGTTTCTAAAAACAGTTTCTAAAAACAGCTTTTTAGGATCTGACCCAGTCCGCATAACCAAGAGATCTAGCTCCCTTGGCTGCTGTTGGAATATGCAAGAATGGGCCTTCCAGATAAGGTCTAGCAAGGACCTCGGTTTTTATAATAGTTTTTATTGGTCATAAACCCTCGGCCTCCTCATTTATTCTTTACATAAACACTGCCTATAAAAACCTCGCCTACGCCTCGGTTTTTATAGCAGTGTATATATTCCCATAAACACTACTATTCATTCTATGCATAAACCAGTTCACGTGATTCACTACCCTAACGCAGTTATACTGAGGATGCCAACTGATGATGT